AACAGCACCCCAAATGTCTGGCAACCCAGAGCAACACAGAAGAGCCTCTTACCTGAGACTCAGGAGGGGAAGAGAGAGCTGAGGTCATTCTTCTAAAGGCACATCTGGGAGTGAGAGTCTCAGGGATGAGAGGGAGAGCATGTTGAAGGTTCTGGCATCTGAAAGGCCTCAGAGAGTAGGCAGTGATTAAAGATTCAAAAGGAAAAGTGCTAAGAGAAAGGTCTTGGGGGTTATAAGTTGGATTCCTTTTAGCATCTTCTGCGAGAGTTGAATAAAGAGTGGGATTCTTTTAAAATTAATTTTCATCTTATATTCTGCTTCCTGAACCACCACCTTACCTAAGAGGGAGCCGTGTGAGTCCTGGTTTAGTGGCGTCACATTAACAGGACCCGTGCCCAGGAAAATACCGAGGAGAGGAATCTTTAGAAGGTCTTTCCTGCACCCCAACGTAGTTCATCTGGGATTGCATGTGCTTATGAGTAAGAGGGAGTCTCATTTCCCAGTTCTCCTAAAAATGGGAAACATTTGAGTCCTCAGTAGTATATTTCATCAATTCCTAGACCCATTTTCACATGGTTTACATCTTGAAAATCAGGATATATCTTATAAATATAATTATCAGCATTTTTGTTCATAGACCAATAAAGGTGTATCTTATTATCAGTGGCATCTTACTTTAATGGGATGCTACATTCATCAGATACTATCCCGAGCATTTCACAGATGTTAGTTTAACAGTTACTACCATTTTACAGACAGAGAGATTGAGGCACGGCTAAGTTTAACAACCTGCTGAGGCTGTGCATGTCCTGGAGCAGAGATGAAAGTCTGTCTCTTTGGGGCCCATGCTCGAGTTTGGACGCTGTGCTGTCTCTCAGGCTGGAGGGCAGAGGGCGCCCAACAGCGAGGCCCCTCTGCTGTGTTTCTCACATTATTACAGGGAGTCCTTAAAGCAATGCTATACAATTAGTACTGCTTTTATTCTTATTTAATATTCTAGGGAACTAAGTGTTTAAAAAAGGTTAAGTAACTTAAGGTCACACTGTTGGTTAATAGCAAAAAAGGACTTGCACCGTTGGCCTGATCCAGTCTCTTTCACAGGCTCTGTAGAAAGAAAGTCTTTGAAAGGTCCTCTGCTCTGTGAAATAACAGGAAAGCAACATCCTAACTTCAGACAATTTTTATATTTATAGAGATATTTCATAAGTGATCTGTGAAAAATATATGTTAACTATGCTATGACTAAACACCAAAAAGTATTTACTCTCTAAAATACTTTGCAGAAAAAATTCAGATTTATAAATTTGAGCGTATTTATAAAAAGAAGATTGCCAGGCACTGGGATTCTGGTGGTTCTGTTTGGAAAGGCAACTACATATTAATTTCAATAAGATCTTATATTTTGATGATAGTTGGCAATAAATGCATCCTGAAATAGCTCCCTGGAGTAGCACACTACAAAGATGAGATTCAGTTGAAACTAAAGGTGCTTATTAAATTCAAACATGTGTTAATTCATTGATCTCCATTAATTACTTTATTAAAGACAACGTATCAATGGTTTTATCCTGATGATAGCAATTTCAATACTGCCTGATTTGCTGATGCTCATACAAGATTTGCTGCTTGTTCTTTCCTATCCAAACATATTTCTGACTCACAGAGCTTCTAAGGGACTAACATTTTTAACATCATAAAGCCTTGGGTTTGTGTGCTGATTTTGTTTTCTAATGACTTGCAGAGATTTTTTTCTTAAATCTTTACAAGTACCCTATGAGGTAGGTAATATTTAGATCCTAATATTTAGATATAATATTTATATATTTATAACATTTCATATTTGGATCTAATATTTAGGTCTTTGTTTTGCATATAAGGAAACAAGCAAATAGCCGTTGAGTAAAGGTCACTGGCGTAGCTGGCATTAAACTGAAGGACGATACTGGCCTTCATACTAACGCCAATGTGCTTGGCATTTGAAAGGAGCTAGATTTTTTTTTTGAGGAAGATTAGCCCTGAGCCAACATCTGCCAATCCTCTTTTTGCTGAGGAAGACTGGCCCTGAGCTAACATCCGTGCCCATCTTCCTCTACCTGATATGTGGGACGCCTACCACAGCATGGCTTGCCAAGCAGTGCTATGTCCGAACCCTGGGCTGCCCAAGTGGAACCTGCACACTTAACCACTGTGCCACAGGGCTGGCCCCAAAAGGAGCTAGATTTTAATGCCCACCTCTAATGAACTTAGAATGAAATACAAGGCAAATCCACTTCCCCAACAATTAACCAATAATCACTCATTGAGTTTTGGTTATCAGAAGGAGTCAATCAAGTTTCCAATAGACTAAACATTAGTAAGGTTATGTAATAGAATCTTACAAATGAATTCTTGTCTATCTTATCAAGAGGAGTTTTTGTTAGGAGAACCACCCCCCCCCCCCACCCCCCCTACCCCGGGGCGTTAGGATTTGTGAGCTTCAGGCACAAATTTACAAAGATAAGTCCTGGCTCCCATCCACTCTGAGTAGTTCAAAAGCATGAATTAAATGAAGAAGAGAATGTGAATTTATAAGAGGAATTAATACAAATACACTGAAAATCCAAACTAGCGTTTAAGTAGTCTAGGCTTCTTTCTACACTTTCTTACGTACATCATGGCACAGCATTTAGGAATGTCTTTTTGACAGCCTCTCTAGAGGTGAACAGATACAAGAAGGATGAGTCCTGTGACTGGTCTTATTCTCTGGGCCAGGGGCCCACACGCAGAGGGTGGGTGTGAGTGCTCGAATGGGCGGGAGGTCAGACGAGGGATCACCCTAATGGGAGTGATTTGGAAATCTGTGGGCTTTTCTTGTTGTAATTCTTCTGGTGTATAACCTCAGGATTTACACATTGAAATCCTTGTTTAAAATTATAAATCATATGTTTATTTCATATCTCTGGTGTATTAGGACATTATATCAATTTTAAAAAATTACAAGTATAGGCAAATATATTATCTATGCGTTTCACTAGAGGACAGTAAAGGAAACATCCATAACAGCAGTGATGCAAAGGGGAAACTGGCTCTAGGGCATTGCTCTAGATCAGGGTTCTCACAGTGTGGTCTGTGGACCCACAGCATCAGCATTCCCTGGGAAGTTACAACAAGGAGTAGGGGTGGCATTATTGTTTATAAAAATTATTTACAAACCCACCCAATATTTATGGGAGGACCCGGAGAAACACAAAGAATTACAGTATTTCCCCCCTAAGTCAGCAATGAAATGTGCTTGGTTAAAATAAACATTACTACAGAGTAAAGAGATTTGGGGCAAGAGGCCTTGGGGAGAGGAACAGAACTGAAATGGAGGGAGGAGAGAGAGAGGGAGAAAAGTGGGGAAGAAAGATTCAGAGAGAAACTCAGTCACGGAGAGATGCACAAGGGGTCTTCTGTCTGGGAGGAGACACGCACACACACTCACACACCCCCATTGGAAACAATAAGGCTGTTAACTGTCTCTAGAGTACCTGTTGGGACTTCAGGTCTTCTATGGGTGACAGAAATTTGCAACAGACAAGGAAATTAAGAACTTGAGTTTGATATTTACATGAAGCCCTCAGACTTCTTTACTTTGCTAGTAACAACATATTCTGTATTATCTGAAATTTTATTGTGTATCTTAATGTCGTTTTTAAAAGCAGTTATGAAAGGCTATGGGGTTTTCTTTTTAAAAATAGTATAAAATTACATAATGTGACCCAAACTAAAGGTGGGAATGTTTCCATAAGTTTTGAGTGAATAGGATATACTAGATTATTGATGTTAAACAGATGAATAAAATTTGAAAAAATAAAATGACTTAGAGAAGACTTTTCTTCTTTAAAAGATCGCGTTTCTACAAAAACTAAAAAAACTATAATGACATAGCAATCATATTATCTTTAAATGGAAGAAAATCAGAATCTTCCTATAAACTCCTATGGAGAGTTATAATGACAAGTCTATCTAAAACTGTACCATTTACACAGGAATCCTAATTGAGGATCTTTAAAAAGTCATGAACAAAGACACGACAACAATCTTTCGTTTTTAAAATTTATCACTTTATGCCTATATTTTCTGGAAAAATACTAATATGTCTTTTGAAAATAAACCAGATCACTCTACCAAACGATCTATATCACTTTATAACAAATAACTTAGGAAGATATTTTGTCTGTTTCATATCTAGGACCTTAATAATTCTAGAGAAGAAGTATCTATCCTGAAAATTAACCTTTGCAAAGTCTGCAGTTTCCGTGGTTACAAGGGGCTGTAAACTAGTCTTCTTAAAGGCTCAGACAATAAGGTGAGACATGACTGCCACCGTGTGGTCAGGAAGAGAATATAGACTTCAAAATCAAATAAACCTGCAATTTAATAACAGAATTACCATATTATTCTGAAATGCAATGGAGACATTGATCAGTAAGTACTGTTTGGTCGTCTTTGAGTTACATTATTCTGGATCCATGAATGTGATGCTCGTCTTTGGTACAAGTAGTTGGACGCTGATACTGACAGTATCAACTAGCAAAATGCCAATTACGGAAATTACTTACAGCCTTACTTCTCAGGGTGTGTTCCACGGACCAGCAGCATCTGCATCACCTGGGACCTTATTAAAGATGCAGAGTCAGACCCCACCTCAGATGCCCTGAATCCGAATCTGCATTTTAACAAGATGCCCAGGGAATTTCTGTATACATCCAGGCTGAGAAGCATTATTCACCTACAGCTAGCGCCTACCTCCTTGACTCTCACCCCCCACCCAACGCAGGGGCACGTGACTTTTACCAAAAAGTCCAGATAGTTGACAAAAATATATAGGTTTTTTACTTGAATTACCTGATTAACTTGGCTTTCCCTTTGCAAATGCAGAGATCTACCTTATCTATTATTTATTTAGGTTAAACTAATGGGTAAATTCCACAATCCAGAGAAAAAATTAAAACAAATTTTCCAGAAGAAAGGGCTTGTTTAGTTTCAGGAGAGATTAGAGTATTTTATTTTGCCCAATCAGAGCCCTTCAGCATAAAGAGACATTCGTATACATATATATGAACATTTTCCAGAAACATTAATTTATAATACATTTTTTTAAAATACCAGCTTAACGGTATTTATTTACAAAAATATTTCATTACCTAATTTTAAACCTTTTGCTGTGATGACAGTTTGTAAAGTACAGGAATGCAAAATAACTACAAAGGTAACACATTTTTAGTGTTTGCAGTAGAGTTTTTTGTTTTGTTTTTGTTTGCAAGGAAATTACACAGAGATGGGTTTTTTTTTTTTTACCGTATTTAAAAATGCATATTCCAGCAATTACCTTTGAGATAGTTACTGGACTGAGCAAGATTTAAATAAAAGAAATAAAGTGTAGCAACTGAAAACGACCTGCACGTACAGGTTCAGATATACACAAGCCAGAGCTCCATAACACGCATGCGAGCCCCTCTGTGGACACGGTTAGAAAAACTGAATCTTGCTCTTTTGAATATTGTTTTTGGTGATGCATTTACAATGAACCAATAGTGTAACTAGAAAACAAAATGTTTTTCCGGTTCTAACTACCACGTCAAGCAGAGGTCACACCTAAAATATCACGGTACTGTTTATTTACCAAAAAAAAAAAATAATAAATTAAAAAAATTTAAAACACGATATACCCTCTTTGCATTGCTTTCTATTGATGTGTTGGGTCTGTTTTCAACTTCTTACACTGTCTTCAGTTGAAGCAAAGTTTAAACAACACAAAACACATAGCAAAAGTATTAAAAAGAAAAAGTGAAACTCCCAAATAGTATTCCATTGCCATTAGCCTATATCCATTTTAAATGCCTGAGCCAAACAACCTACATTAAATTAATACCAATTTATTTACATCTCACACACTATAAAATTTTAATTTAAACTATGAGCCTCATTGGGAAATACTGGCAAAACTGACATCCATGATTTTTCTGATGTAAAGACTGCAATAAAAAGAGCAATCACACGGTAGCCCTGGACTACTGGACTCCATTTGTAAATGAACTGAGCCCAAGAATTTTAGACTGTATTAGTAACTGCAGAAAGCAATGTTATAACCCTGATAATTGCGAAGTTATGAAAACCATCTAATTCAGCTGAGAAAGGTAGGCTGAAGTGTTCCCTTTAATTTTTGTTGTTGTTGTTGTTGGTATAACTATTTTCTGTCCACAGAACCTTTAAAGCTTCTGTGGCAGCTGTAAGATCATTAATATTCACAGGAAAAAGAATCCCCATATAGCGCGTTACAAGAAATTGATCAGAGTGATGAAAAGTGTAATTAACAAAAGCTGTAAACGGTATTTTCACATTCATTTTCAAATGAGAAAAAATAATTTGTGGGCATAAATTTCAATCCAAGACAACAAACACCCTAAAAAGGAAAAGAAAAAAAGGAGGACACACTTACGAGAGAAGAGTGCTCTTTTTCAAAGTAAACACAGATTAAAAAGTCTAGGAATATCGATCAAGTATCAAATGAGAAGGAACAAATTCTATAAACTACAAAATAAAAACCTTCATTGACAAAAATACATAAACTCTGTTTTTATTTTTGGAAATTTATTTTTAAAAAAGGTAGAAGAAAATACCTGGAAAACTATTTTAAATATATATATATCTTCAAACAATAGTTAAGGTAGGCGTCCAACAGCAAGCTGCAGCTACTGAGAAAGATCTCGCAATTATTGTTGTGGGCATTTTCCCCAAAATGAAATTAATATTTGAAAATGCTCAATCGAGGGTTTTTTGAACCATAGTAATGATCTCTTTCCTGTCATGTGTGAAGACTTTCGAATGATATATGATTCTTTAAAATTAATTGTATCTCGATATGAGATACCAATATTTCTTATTATAAGCGTAAAACATAACTGTTTGTATGGATAATATACATACTTTTTAAGTACTTTGACTTAAACTTAACAAGTTCACCATTTTTAAAATTAAAGAGTACATTTATAAAAATCTCATTTTAAAACTAAAAGTATATTCTCTAGCAGTATGTATAAATATAACATGTTACTGTATGATCTTAAAACAAATCTGAAAGTGTTGCAGTAATTTAAGACCTAGAACACTGAAACAAACAGCAAATAATCTGATTTTTATCCTTGAAAACTATATAAAACCCTATTTTTTTTAAAATAGGTTTTAAAACTATGATCGGTTTGTTTAAGGTGCAGCTAGCAGCATATTCATGATTTTGGTATGTTTTATACATATGCATCACTTGATTTGAACTGAGAAATGTGGATTAAATGATAATAAAAAGTTTTCGTTACCTAAAAAAGTGCAGAAAAAATTCAAGTTTAAAGTTCAGTGCTCTTTATTTTGCAAAAACAAATAAACAAAATCTCAAAAGTTAAAATGTAAAATAAATCTTTGCCACAAAAAGTGTACCTTTGGATATAGCTTTTCTAATGTCACATGAGAAAATGCCTTAAGCAAAACATATATGGCATATGGAACTCAGGGTAAAACTTGGAACTCCGTGGTGTCTTCCACGTATTTTTCCTTTCCTTAGCTGTCTCCCCACCACCTAAAAGCATGTAACACTTTCAGACTTGTTTAAAACACTAACATATCTACATGAAATAACTTCAGAGGAACCTACAATTAAAAAGTTCTAAGCAAAAGAAAGGCTTCTTTCTTGAAAGTATTGTACTTAATTAAACTGTAATATACCACACAGGATAACACAGACAAATAGCAGCATTTTTCACATCCATAAAAAATCAAATTAAGAAGTTAGTAATAGCTCAGTTATATCTATAAGCATTTTTGGAAACACTGTACAACTGAAATGCAAACCAAGGGCATTAAGCTGATGGAAAACTGCAAATGGATGTAATACACAGAATTTGTCAGGCTATCAGAATTCAAATAACTTTCTAAGAAAATACATATGGATTTTAGCTTGAAGAGTGAAATGAAGTAGAAATATGGTAGATATAGGGAAACCACTTCCTATTCACAAACTGCTAATCGATGAATACTTCGACTGTGGAGCATTGCACACACGCAACAAAGAGGAATGCTGGAGGAGACAGAGGAAGCGCATGAGTATCTCTCATTTTTCTAATATTTTCTATTTTGACTTTTTTTTTGGTTTGTTTTCCTGAAATCTTGGCTTGCTGGTGACTATTACTTTTTGCATTTAAAAAGAAAAAAACAGAGATGTTATCTCACAAATTACAGTAAATTCCCTGGGTTAGTTACTCCTGCAGACTGTTTCTCATCTACAGACTGACTCAAGTATAACTCTGAGACGCTGACTTCTTATTCTCAAAAATACTTCAAGCTTTCTAATCCTAAGTGAGCTTCTAGTTTGCTGTGCATAATTTGTAAAATGAAACAAAATAACTCAAAATATTGATTTCAGATTTTCTTATAAAATCCATCTCAGGTAAATGTATCTTTCTCTATTTGAAAATAATTACAAGATTGGTTCATTTTATATACAATAGGTAAAATGACAGTAAAAATGAAGCTGATATACAATTAACACAAAATAACACAGCAAATTAAATAACTGGAACTAAAATGCCCTTCCACATGAAGACGGAATCGACCAGTATATTACTTTACTTAGTGCTTCTCAGCTTCAAATCCGTAACTGTTGCTTTTACTGATGACATTCACAAAACTATACCTTTAAAAAAGGGCTTAATACTTCCCGTGATATATCATGGAACAATGGGTTTATTAGATAGTATATGATACAAAACAAGCAATTTGTAAATTGCTGGATGTTCATCAGACAGCTGACACGAACTAAACAGAAATAGGTTATTCATAGGTACTTTCTACAAATTGAAAAACTTTTGAAAATGACTGTATTTTTAAAACATCCCTTTTGGCTTGATCAATTATCTCTATCATATATATTTAGTCCCTTCCTAATGATATTTAAAGTAAATTTTCATGTAAACTTTTGTCTCCTGTAGTGCACGCTATAAAATGTAAACAGAAAAGCTTTATTAATGGAAAGAGTAAAGAGGAGAAGACGCGTAACAGACTGAAATTAAGGAGTCCCACACAGACCTTGAATGACCACATGGAACAGAAAAAGAACCATCATGTCTGCTTTCCATTTGTGCTCTGATTATCTCTTAATGAAAAAAAAATTGTTTTAAACAACTTTTTCTACAAGAAAATATTTCAATTTCACTAATATTAAGTGTAATGCTTCTATTTTGCTCTTCGTTTGTTGCTTTAAGAACAATCAGCAATAACCTCAGATGAGCCTGCATTGTGAGCTTCCTTCCTTCCAGGTCTGTCTACCAGGTTGGCTCTTTCCTGTCTGCAGTGCTGTTCAAGAACCAATCCGTGATTGTCGACTGGTGGTCTCATTTGCATTATACTCCAATAAAGAAATAATTTAGTTACCAAAATGCACATATTTTCCTTTCCTTTTGGCTTTGTAAAACCTTGAAAGGACATGTACAGATTTATAGTATATTTCTACAGAAAATATTTTGTAGGTCATCAGACTAGACTCTTATATAGATAATTATTAACAACAGATGCTTGTAGTTTTCCATGCGACAGCATGTGCACTAAGATTTAACTGGCTCATCACCTGAGTGTACTGGAGCTGTTAGCAAATAAAGGGCACTTTAAAAAGGGAGCTGAGCATTTTACTGAAATAATGAAACATTTTTTTAAGCAATTTTAATTAAATAATGCAAAGGTACATTTGGTTAAACATTTTATAAAAATTCAAGCAAAATTAAAAACTTAGCCAATTTTAACAGTTCTACAAATTTAACCAGTAACTATTTTGGTCAAATCCACCTTGAGCTGAATTAATGAGAACAAAGACAAGGGACATTGAAGTATTCTCCTCACCACAATGGAGGTTTTTCTCACTTTCCACACTGCATAGCCACTACATGGAAACTTCCAGAATGATGAGCAGTTCAGTCATGCTCTACACTTTTCTTTTCAATGAAAAGTGATGTATCGCTTTGTTTTGCTTTTGACAAAATATGGACTAAACACAAGTGTACAATAACAAGAATCCAAGAGTAGCCCATACACACGTCAACTATGTGTATGTTTTTATTATTTAAAGCCCACCATTCAGCTTATCTGTCTAAAGATATGGTAACAAACAGTTTGTTTCTTTTTCACTAATGATACTGATGACCAGTCAGTTTCAGGAAGGGAAAGTCCAAGACAGCTGTTTATAATTCAGTCAACGACACAAACGTAACTGTTTCGGCTCCAGGACTCCTGACTTATTGCCTCTCCCTCAAAGAGGTCCAACACTGATGGCAGACGCAACAGCACGGAATCTTTTGGCATATGAACGTTTAACACAGGAGTGGTGCAGGGGTGGTCTCTGCCACGTCTCCGCAACGTCCCCCTGTGCTTCTTCGTCTGTAACTTGTGACCCGCTCAGTTCCCAAACTGTCAGCTCAGAGCTGGCACACGCCGTGTGCTCCACGTGGAGTGTGCGAACACCCCTCAGGGAAAGCTGCGTGACCGAGGTGCAACAGCGCCTGATTGTGCTGGGAAAGACCAGCATCCACTGAGGAACATCCCTTAACGTCAACTTTCCTAAAGCAAAATCAGTAAAATAAAAAAGGAAAATTCTTTTTCCTTCTGGCTGAAGTTAGACTTATTGGATTTCTGGTTGTCAGAACTGGTACCACTTCTTATCTTTGTATTTCAACATCATCTAAAGGGGAGAAAACACAAAAACACGTTTTAAAAATGCCAGAACAACAATATTTATAAGTTATAACTGTCTTTTATATTATTCCAAAACAAAATCTCATTCTGAAAAGTTCTGTAGTGTCACTATCTTGCTTACCTCAAATCAATTTATATTGAAAGCAATAAGTAGTAACTGTTTCATTTAGGAAAACACCATAACTATTATGAACTAGCCTAGAAGGTCCTCACATTTCTTAGAGACGTGACATAATTAAATTTTGGCTCAGTGCATTCTTTGGTGACCTAAGCTAATAACTTACAAATAAGGTAATTTTCAGTTTTCTAATTTGAACTAAAAATAATGTTTAAAGAATGTGGGGAAAGAAAGGTTGAAAACACTACTACTACTGCCATCTAAAATTTACTGGGCACTAACTCTGAGCCAGGCTCTGTAGGATGTGCTTTCCCTACACGATTTCATTGTGGCCTCACGACAACTCTACAGGTTAGGCATCATTATTCTCCCCATGGTATAAAGAAACTGAGGCTTGTAGGGGTTACGCAGGGTAATACACTGGTGAAGCTGAGATCTGAGCCCACGTAGTCTGATTCAAGAATCCATGATCTTAACCACCTCAACGTATTGTCTTCCTCAGATTCATAAATGTGGCTGGAGAACAACATTTGGTAGAGGGGGAAAGCTTTCAGTTCGAGACTGAGCTCTTTGTTAAATATTTAGTGTGGAGATATTCTGAACTTGACTGAAGTGTTCCATGCCTTAGAGACCCCAGTCAGGCGCAGGCGTATGCCAACAAAATTTTTAAGCTAGACTGAAGGCCAGTAGCCTGCATCTGAGGTTTGTGTCGGCCTAGTACAAGGACCCACAGAGGATCTCTGAATCTCTTTGAAGCTCAGGACAAATCTCTCCCAGATCAACTACCTCTTTCCTGCATTCTAGGCGTCAGCATCCTTAAGTAAGGAAGAGATGACTTCTGACTGAAAAATTTAAAGAAGAGCTACTGCTAATAGACTGGGTACTTAACTATAAAAATAACCTTAAAATGGTTTCTTTGGATAACAAACTCAGAACGTTCTCAAGGGCTAGGCTAGGAGCTAAAGGTGTGAAGAAGCCCAGTGTAAAAAGCATCAAGGAGTGGCAGACAAGTGTGTCAAAATAAAGAACGTGTATTCCACCCACAGGCCTTTAAATTCAGTTTTTAAGTGTGTATTTGTAAGATGGCCCGTCAGGGATCCCCACTTCATGGAACCCGTTGCTGGCTCCTCCACGACTTCCTGGTTCGTGCAGATGGAGTCACTGCAACACTGCATCTCACTGCCCCTCTGTGTGAACTGCTCTGCAGAGAGATTCAGTATTTCTTATTTGAACAAAAACGTTTGCCAATTTTAGTTACTTAGGTCTACCTAGAGAATCAAGAGAAGTCAATTATTTCCTTCTCCAGGAGAAGTTGGTGGTAGAATCTGAGGCATAAAAGGAAAATGAGCTTTGTTATTGCATTCCCTCAGAAACAGCTACAAAGCTGCTGGCTTTGTGGACAGAAAGCCTGAAGGTGAGCAGTTCCTTCAAAATTTATCAACTTCAGTAAGAGACCAAAGGCTACTGAGACATTGCCTTGTAATGGCTCCCTCTGGTGGCAAAAATCGGGAATGTGCAATTGTATAGAGGTTACACGAAAACATGTGTGGAAATACAATAGCTATGAAAATGCAGTAATTTTCATACTCGCTTTGCCTCAGAGTTTTGGTTTAAATGTTTGTTTGGTAGACATACCTCATGAGCATGTTTGGAAAACGCGTCCGCACTGGACAGCATGGCTGCAGTCCTTTCTTCCAGGTCGCCGAGTTTCTGTCCTCTCTCATCCAGAGCCAACCTGGCCCGTGCTAATTCACCGACGACTCCAGACGCTGCGCCCTTCACACCTTCGATGCCACCAGGGCCAGGGATATGCTGTGCAAGACTCCTTGAAGCCTTTCCAGAGGATGATTCTCCAACTGAGCGGTTTGATAAATGAAAGAGTAACTCAAAAAAATGAGAATTTTATTAATATGAAACCCCATTACATGACAGCATTAAAACAGAATGTTTAGACTGAGTGACAACATAATTGAAATATTTATATATTTCACTTTATAATACGTTTTTCTTTTATTATGATGGTTTTAATTTTAAGATACTTTTTCAAACATGCAAAAACAATGTACATTAATAAATATTCTATTCTATACTAATTCATATAACAGGACTTGTGTAAAAAAGCAACTGGTAATTATTTGGTGAAATGAATAATGCATATACTGATACCACTTTATGTTACAGTAAAAAACTGCTCTTTAGTGTGCAAAAAATTAAACATAAATTGACTTAGAGATATTTAAATTCAAATATATAGATTCATATTTAAATATACAGATTTGATTCAGTTTACTTAGTCCATGCTTTCTCTTACTTAAAATACTATGCTTAGGCTAAGAAGTAAAGCAAAATGAAGAATTTATTCAATATTCTGTTTGCCTCCAGAAGCTGTAGATAAGCTTGCTTTCTCTCCATTTATCTTGTCACTTACCCGAATAGATAAAATTTTTCCTTCAAAAGATCTCAGGAATCTTTTGCTTCCCCTCCCTTTGTAATCCAGACCCTGATTGCCCTAACACCTAGATTACTGCAAAAGTCGTAATTTCTGTCCCAGACTGATGCCATATTCTCTCTCCTCTTAATATATATTTCCTTCTTGAGAAATATAATTCACACACCATGAATTCTGCCCCTGAACAATTCAGTAACTTTTAGTTTATTTAGAAGGTTGTGCAGCTGTCATCACTATGGAATTCCTGAGCACTTCACCACTCCGAAAACCCCAGGCTGATCAGCAGTCACTTTCCACTCCCTGGTCTTCTCAGCCCTGGGCAATCAATAACCTACTCTGTCTCTCTAAATTTTCTTGCTCTGAACATTTGATATAAATGGACTCATACACTATGTGGCCTTTTGTGTCTGGCTTCTTTCACTTAAAATTATGTTGTCAAGAGTCAACTATGTTGTAGCATGCACCAGTACTTCATCCTTTTTAACGACTGAATATCATTCCACTGTATGGACATACGACATTTTGTTTCTCCACTCATCAGCTGATGGACATCTGAGCTGTTTCCACTTTTTAGTTATTATGAATATTGCTGCTATGGACATTTGTACAAGTGTTTGTGTGAACATGTGTTTTCTATTCTCTTGGATATACACCTAGGAGTGGAACTGTTGGGTCATATAACTTTATGCTTAACATTTTGACGAACTGCCGAAGTTTTCCAAAGAAGTTACACCATTTCACATTCCCACTAGCAACGTACGAGGGTTTCAATTTCTCCACTTTCTTGGGAATGTTAACAAACACTCCCAACACTGTACGTCTTTCTGATTACAGCCATCCTAGTAGGTATGAAGTGGTATTTCACTGTGGTTTTGATTTGCATCTCCCTAACGACAAATGACGTTGAACAACTTTTCATGTATTTATTGCCTATTTGTATATTTTCTTGGGAAAAATGTCTACTCAAACCCTTTGCTCATTCAAAAATTGGACTATTTGTCTTTTTATTGTTGAGCTATAAGAGTTCTTCACATATTCTGGATACTAGATTCTTATCAGATAGATGATTTGCAAATATTTTATCGCATTCTGGGGGTTGTGTTTTCACATTCTCTTTTCCTTTGAGGAAGATTGATCCTGAGCTAACATCTGCCACCAGTCCTCCTCTTTTTGCTGAGGAAGACTGGCCCTGAGCTAACATCCATGCCCATGTTCCTCTACTTTATATGTGGGACGCCTGCCACAGCATGGCTTGGCAGGTGGTGTATAGGTCCGCACCTGGGATCCAAACCGATGAAACCCACACTGCCAAAGCGGAATGTGTGAACTTAACTGCTGCACCAGCAGGCTGGCCCATTTTCACTTTCTTGACAGTGTTCTTTGATTTTTAATTTAGATGAAATCCAATTTATCTATTTTTTTCTTTGGCTGCTTGTGATTTAGGTATATCTGAGAAATCATCACTTAATCTAAGGTCACAAAGATTTATACCTATGTTTTCTTCTAAGTTTTATCTCTTACATTGAGGTCTTTGATCCATTTTGAATTAATTTTTGTGTATGGTGTGAGGCTGGGGTCCAACATCATTCTTTTGCATGTTGCAGTTGTTCCAACACCATCTATTGAAAAGACCACTCTTTCATTACTGAATTTTCCTGGCATGCTTGTAGAAAATCAATTCACCATACATGTATGGGCTTATTTCTGGACCCTCAATTCTACTCCACTGGTCTCTATATATCTATCCTCACACCAGTACCAAACTATCTTGATGATTACAGCTTTGTGGTAACTTTAGAAATTGAAATGTGTGAGTCCTCACACTTTTTCTTCTTTCTCAAGATTTTTTTTTGTGTGTGTGGCTATTTTGGATCCTTTTCATTTCCATATGAATCTTAGGAACAGCTTGTTTCTTTCTTCAAAAAACTAGCTGGGATTTTGAGAGGGATGGTGTTGAATGTATAAACTTGGGGAGTACTGCCACCTTAGCAATAGTAAATCTTCCAATCCACGAACATAAGATGTCAATCCATTTATTTATCTCTTAATTTCTTTAAATGATATTTTGAAGTTTTTCATGTATGTTTGACACTTCATTGGTTAAATTATTCCTAAGTATTTTATCTTATTGATGCTATTATAAATGGAAGTTTTCTTAATGTAATATTTGGTTTCTTCATTGCTAGTGTATAGAAATGCAATGATTATTTACATTGATCTTGTATCTTGCAATCTTGCTGGACTTGTTTATTAACTATAATGGGTATTCTTTGTGTGGATTCCTTAAGATTTTCTCGATGCAACATTATGTCACCTGTGAACAGAAATAGTTTTACTTCTTCCATTCCAATCTGCTTGCCTTTTATTTCATTTTCTTGCCTTCCTGCCCTGCTTAAAGCCTCCGGTACAATTTTAAATAAAAGTGGTGAGACCTTCCGAATTTCTGTATAAAATTTAGAATCAGTTGCAAAATTTCTGGGAGGGATTTTGATGAGGACTTAAGTGTACATGTGTATGTATATACATACCTCAGTTTTGGGAGAACTAATGCCTTCTACAGCACAAACATGGCATACCTCTCCATTTATTCGGGTCTTTAACTTCTCTCAAAAAAGTTTTATAATTTTCTATTTTCCCCAGGAAGTCCTAAACATCTTAAGATTTATTTCTAGATATTTGATTTTTTCTTTTTGATACTACCATGGTGGGTAGAATAATGACCCCCCAAAGATGAACTTGTGAATATGTTACCTTATAAAGGAAAAGAGACTTTGCAGATGTAATTAAGGACCCAAAGATAGAGGGATTATCGAGAGCTTTTCCCAGCCCTGGGCAGACACAGAGAGAAGCAATAAAGTTGCTGGCTTGGAAGACTGAGGAAGGGACCACCAGCCAAGGAATGGGGATGGCCTCTCGAAGCCGAAAAAGGCAATGAAACCATTCCCCCCTAAAGCCTCCAACCAGGAACGCAGCTCTGGCAACATCAGTGAGAGGCGTGTTGATCTCTAACACACACAACAGTAAGATAATAGATTTGTGTTATTTCAAATCACTAAGTTTGTGGTGATTTGTTACAGCTGCAATAGAAAACTAATGCAAATAGTATTTTACTCCACAATAATTCAGTATGCATCTGTAATTTCCCTACAAATAGAATACATTTTATGAACATTCTGTGTGTGTTTGAAATGAATGTGTATTCTACAATGTTCTATATCTGTTCTTTGGTTTAAGTTCATTAATTGTGTTGTTCATGTCATCTACATCCTTAAACTTATTTTTGGGCTGCTTTTCTCTCTCAATCAATAGGCATATTACGAGTTCCCATTATGATTGGGAAACTGCCTCTTCTGGTACTTACATCAATATTTGTTTTTTATATATTTTGAAGTCAAAACATCAGGTGCATTCAACAACATCAATGTTTACTCTTTCTGATACTAATGCAGTTATACCAGCTCATTCTTCATTTGTGTTCATGGTTTTCTTCTAAAATTTCAATCTTTCTGTGCCTTTATGTTTTAAACATGTCTTCTGTAAACAGTGCACATTTCTTTCTTTTAAAATTGAGTCTGATAATCTTTGTCTTTTAATTGGAACATTCATTCTACCTATATTTACTCTGGCTATTTATATTTAATTTACATCTACCTTCCTTTATGTGCTTTCTATTTATCTCATCTTTTTTGTGTTCCATCCCCCTCCTTTTGGAAGGAAAGTGATTTTCCTGCTCTTCAGCTGAAAGTTAGGTACTGCTTTTATAGGTTATAGAGATCATCCTACAAATTATAACATGCATCTTTAACCTATTAATGCTAACCGATACTTTTTACAAGTCTCTTGAAAAATGTAAGGATCACAGATCACCTTAAATCCATTTATCCTTTCTAACTCCCTTGATTTTATGTGACTTTTTGGGATTATATTGTTTATTTGTGTGTGTACATGTGTACACACATACCACAAATCTTTGCTTTACAGTTTATAAAGATTAATTCTATTTATTGTTTTCTTTCCAAAGTGTTGTTCCCTACATCTCTGACATTCCGTCGAGGATTACTTCCCTCCATCGGAAGTGCCTCCTGGAGCTCCCTTTAGTGCGGCGGCAAGGCTTATTTTATGTATTTGTTCATTTGTCTAAAAGTGTCTCATTCTTGAAAGACATGTTCTTTGAGTAGAGAATTCTACATTAAGTACTACCTTCTGTCAATACCTAGAAGATCATCCTACTATCTTTGGCTGTTGAGAGGTCAATCTATAGTTTGTTAAAAGGTACCTATCATTTTTCTCTAGCCACCTTAAAGATTTTCTCTTTGTCTTTGATATACTATATTTTCACATGACATATCTAGCTGTGAAGTTTGAAAAAATGTCCTTCTTGGAATTCATTAGGCTTCTTGAATGTGTGAACTGGTATCTTTTATCAATTCTCAAAAATTTCCAGCCCTCTCTCTGTAGATTCTTCTTCACAGTCTTTCCTTTTTCCTCTTGAGACAGTCTAAACATACGTTAGATCTTCTAAACGCAACTTCTATTTCTTTTATCTTCCCCTCTATACTTTATATTTTTTTGTTTCTCTGTGCTACATTCTGGATAGTTTATTTTGACCTAATTTTAAGTTACATAATTCTCTCTTCAGTTGTGTCTAATTTGCATCTAAATTCATCCACTGAGTTTTTAATTTTGGTTTTTGAACCTTTCAGCTCTAGAATTTCATTTTGTTTTTTACACATTTCCTGTATTGATTTTTTTTTTTTAAAGTTACTAATTTTTTTTTTTTTTTAAAGATTTTATTTTTTCCTTTTTCTCCCCAAAGCCCCCCAAGTACATAGTTGTGTATTCTTCGTTGTGAGTCCTTCTAGTTGTGGCATGTGGGACGCTGCCTCAGCGTGGTCTGACGAGCAGTGCCATGTCCGCGCCCAGGATTCGAACCAACGAAACACTGGGCCGCCTGCAGCGGAGCACGCGAACTTAACCACTCGGCCACGGGGCCAGCCCCTTCCTGTATTGATTTTTATAGTTTTCAGTTGCCTGATAAAACATTCAGGTGTGGTACTTATCCTCTTGAATATAATATGCATAATTATTTTAAAGTCAGTGACTGATAATTCCAATATTTTAAGTATCTGTGATTCTGTTCTGCTTTTTCTGTTTTATTTTTCATAGTGTTGATTCCTAGTGTTCCTGATTATCTATGCTACATCTTTGAAAAATCCTTTCTAGAAATAATATGAGAACTTGGAATATGTTATCTTCCTTTAGAGAACATTCTCATTTGCTTCTGCCAGGTGCTGGGGACTTCAGCAGTCTGCAAAAATCTTAATTGAGGTTGAAAGTTTTCTGGGCCACTCAGAGAATGTGAAGCAGAGCTGAAAGTCTGAGTGTGGGTGAGGGCTGATCTACTTCCACTCACCTTTACTCTTAAGCTGTGGCCCTTCAGGGTCCTTGCAAAGAGGAGTTCCTGTTTATCGGGGCCCACACCCTTGCCAGTTCTGTGAGCCCACTTTGCTAGTCCTAAAACAGTTCAGTATCTCAGCCTCCCACTTGGAATAGCAAAGTCCTCCAGGGCAGAAGTGGCCTCAGGTTGCCAGGCTCACCCCTCGGAGTTCCCATCCTTCCCCATGGAGATTGCCCTTACTATATTGTTAGCTCTTTGATGTTTTTAAGAATTAAAAAAATATATATTTTTTTAATATATTTTTTTAATTCTGTATAACTTTATCAGTTATCCTTGGCAAGAGTGTTATTCCAAATTATCAGTCCCCTATGACTGGAAGAACAGTCTTCATTTTTTTAAATGAATTTAAACTGACAAATGCGCATTACTGAGAGGACTGACCGATCACCTGGGTAACTCTGTACAGTGAAATTGCACTGCACTGCTGCTTGCTGATATTCAGTCTTACAGTTTTTCTAATTAGTCAAACAAATACAAAAAGAAAATTCTAAAATAATTTAACAAAAAACAAAGATAATAAAAGAAAAAAATTCAAGGACCGATAATAGCTCCTATTTGGAAGAAAGGTCACACATTCCTTGATTCATTAGTTCATTCAAGGACCAATTTCTAATTTGTGCCAATTATGTGAAAGATAAGTAAATAAACCAGATTTTGCTATTTTATATATCTTTCTAGTGCAATTAGAATAGTTCTGGAGGTTTTCTAAGATAACATAAATATTTAAGTAAAAACTTTTTCAAAGGGGGCCAGCCCTGTGGCCAAGTGGTTAAGTTTGCACACTCGGCTTCAGTGGCCCAGGGTTTCACCAGTTTGGATCCTGGGGGCGGACATGGCACCGCCTATGAGGCCATGCTGAGGTGGCATCCCACATGCCACAACTAGAAGGACCCACAACTAAAAAACATGCAACTATGTACTGGGGGGCTTTGGGAGAAAAAGGAAAAATAAAACCTTAAAAAAAAACTTTTTCAAAGTTAAGGGCATTGGTTAAAGATGCCCTTAATTATATAATTCTATAATTATCTTAATTACAGAATTAAAACAATAATGAAGATCACATTTAATGAAAATTAAAAAAATACTTCTAAATTATTCATTAAAGTTGTGAATCTTCCTTTTTAACCACCTAAAGCTGTTATGATTTTGGTTTCCTGAGTAAAATATTCCCCTGATTTGGGTTAGGGAGACAAAAAATAATTTTAAGTATTTTGCTAAAACACGGATATATTGATTGTTGTGACAGAGAAAAAACGTGAACATAATTTATACATGTAAGAAAAATTTATATGGCTTGAACATTTCTGTTTTATAGATATATTACCCAAATTAAATCAACTGACTTACAGAGTTCTTCTCGATCGAGAGACTGTGCGCCGCCCCCAAACAAGCCTTTGAAGAAGCCCCTGTTTGGTGCTTCGGGGGTCTCCACAGGAGTGAAGAGCTCGCCCAACATCTCCTTCAAAATCAAAACAAAGTGTAATTGTTAAAGTGTCAGGCAGACTGCACTATAACTCACAAAACCATCACTGTAAACTCTTTAACTCAAGCTTATAACATGACCTGTTGAGATTCACAAACAATTAATGTGCACACTTCAAATGACCAGATCCAGGACATACAAACGTAGTCAAACAGTCAGTTATTAAGACTAAATTGACTAAGACTAACTTGCTGCTTGCTACTTTGGTTAGATCACTTTCCTCACATTTCAAGCAAAGATATAAGGAGATTCCAATCTTTATGACAAAATTTTCACATAATTCTTATTTTCAAGAACTGGTGATTAGATTAATAATTACGTCTTCCTACATCAGAAAGAAGAGAGGTTACTAGGAAGTAAAAAAGTCTAGTGCGATAATAACGATATACAGTTCAGTTGAGTCAGAAAATTAGTAATTTAGAAAGACACACTGACTTCCTTTTTCATAGACATATGCCAGGAAGATAATGATGCCCACATACACCGGGAATTTCAGAAAGCTGGCAGGGAGATGGCAAAGCTTCTTGCTGTATTGTCAAATTTTTCCGAAATTACTGTCAATATTCTTCAGAGCACAGAAATGGTAAAAGTCAGTCGGGAGGCAAGAAAGGTTGCCAACAGGTAACTGAGTTTTAGAGAACACATACAGAGGGAAGAGAGGGCTCCATAAGAGAAGAATGGTAACGTCCTGGTTGACGAGACAGCTTTGGGAAGCTTGAGAAGCAAAACACAAGTATAGTGAGGCTCTGGGACTGCATTTCTGCCCATGGAAGAGAGGGAGCCATGACACAAAGGACACAGTGTACTTGTGTGCTTGTCTGATATCCTTTAAGTTCTCTTTCATTCTTTTTTGCTGATTTTTTTAAAATCAAGAATGGATGCTGCATTTTGTCACTTGCTTTCTATTTTTTTAGTTTATCAATATGGTGAATTACATTATTGATTTACAAATGTTACATCAACCCTGCGTTCCTGGGATAAATCCCACTTGGTCATGATGAATTACCATGACCTGAATTTTCTTTCTGATAAATTGTTGGATTCAATTTGCTAAAATTTTGTTTAGAATTTTTACGTCTACATTTATTAAGTCTGACAGTCTATCTGTAATGGTCTTTTCTTGTAATGTCTTTGTCTGGTTTCGGTATCAAGTTAATGGTAGCATCACATAATAAATTGGGAAGCGTTTTCCTGCTCCAATTTTTGGAAGAGTTTTGTGTAGAACGGGTATTATTTCTTCCTGAAATGTTGATAAAAGTCACTAGGGAAGCCATCTGGGCCTGGAATTTTCTTTGTCCAAGGTTTCTAGCCTCAACTTCAGTTTCTCCAATAGACACAATGCTCTTCAGGTTATCTGCTTTTCTGGGGTGAGCTTTGGTAATTTGTGTCTCTCACAGAATTTATCCATTTCATCTAAGCTTTTGAATTGACTGGAATAAAGTTGTCTATAATATTTCCTTATTATCCATTTTAATATTTGCGGAATCTATAGTAATGCCACCTCTCTCATTCTTTTCTTTTTAATTATATCACTTTTTTTGAAGAGGAAGTTTGGCCCTGAGCTAACATCTGTTGCCAATCATCCTCTTTTTCTTTTTCTCCCCAAAGCTCCAGGACATAGCTGTATATCCCACTTGTATGTCATTCTAGTTCTTCTATGTGGGATGCTGACTCAACATGGCTTGATGAGCACTGTGTAGGTCCATGCCCAGGATCCGAACCTGCAAACCTTGGGCCACCAAAGCACAGTGTGCAAACTTAACCACTTGGCCACAGGGCCAGCACCTCTCATTCTTGCTATTGATATTCTCTCTTCATCATCAGTTTGGCTTGAGATCAATTTTATTGATTCTGGAGATCAAGTTTTTGGTTCACTGACGTTTTTCTATTGTTTCCCTATTTTCAATCTCATTAATTTCTACTTGGATATTGATTATTTTCTTTCTTCTGCTTACTTTGGGTTTAATTTGCTCTTCTTTTTCAGTTTCTTAAGGTGGAAGCTGAGGTCCTGATTTGATGAGAACCTCTTGTCTAACATAGGTGTTTCAGTGCTATAAATTTGCCAAGCTTAAACCCTCAACTGTTTTTTCTATTGCTATGCTTTCGAGTTACCTAATCTTTTCTTCTGCAATGTCTAATCTGTTGTTAATCCCATCCAGTACATTTTTCATCTCAAACACTGTAGTTTTTCATCTCTAGAAGTTCATTTTCAGTCTTTTCTATCTTCCACATCACCACTTAACTTTTTGAACATATGGAATACAGTTATAATAACTGTTTTAATGTCCTTCCATGCTAATCCTGACATGTGTGTCAGTTCTGGTTTGGTGTCTATTGATTGATTATTATTCTCATTATCAGTCATGTTTTCCTATCTCTGTGCATGCCTGGTAATCTGACTCAATGCCAGACATTTTGATCTTTACCTTGTTGGGTGTGGATATTTTTTATTTTCTCTAAATCCTCTTAAGCTTCATTCTGGGATACCAGGGAACATTCTGATCCTTTTGGGCCTTGCTTTCATGATTTGTTAGGCAGGTCTAGAGTAGAGTTCAGTTTAAGGCTAATTATTCCTCACTAATGAGCCAAGACCTTTCCGAGTACTCTACTCAATTCCCCACTGGGGTACACTGAGTAAGGGCCATCTAAAGGGATCAGGTCCCAATCCCTGGGACCTGCAGATGTTACCTTGTGAGGAAAAAATGGTCTGTGCGCTTGTGATTAATTTAAGCATTTTGCCATGGAGAAATTATGCTGGAATATCTGGATGAACCCTAAATCCAATTACAAGGGTCCTTTAAAGAGAGAGGCGCAGAGGGAGATTTGACACCTGCAGAACAGGAGGCGGCAATGGAACCAGGAGGGAGAGATAAGAGAAACACAGCCACAGTCAAGGAATGCTGGCAGCTACAGGAAGACCGAGGAGGCAAGGATCAGCTTCTCCTCTCGAGCCTCTGGAGGGAGCACGGCCCGGCCAACACCGTGATCTGGCTCAGTGAGACTTATTTCACACTTCCGGTTTCCAGAAGCATGAGAGAATGAACTCAGGTTGTTTTTGGCCACCAGTTGTGGTGATTTGCTACAGCAGCCGCAGGAAATCAATACACTCACGAACTATAAGTTGTTTCAGTCTGGCTGTTGGAACAGGCACTGTCCCGGGCCCAAGCGTGTTTCCTGTGAATCCTCCCCTCCCTTCCAGATGGCTCTTTCCCTGCTCAGAGGGTTTATCCACGTGCCTGTGCTGCACAGTACTCTGTGAACACTCCTGGGGGACCCTCCACAGCTCTCCAGGCTCCTCTGTCTGTCCTGCTCTCTCTCTCTCTGCTACTCGGTTCTAAGAACTCGAACTTGCTTGGTCTTCCCAGACTCTTGGTTCCGTCTGCTCCACTTGGGAAGCTGGTCAGACTGCTTCCGTGCCTTCTCTCTGTGCCGTGTTCTGGAAACCATCAAGCATTGCAGATGGGCACTTCCTTTGCTTCCTGCCTCTCAGGGATTACTTCCCTTCACTGCCTGATGTCCAGGATCTTGAAAACTGTGGTTTCAGGTTTTTGTCTGCTTTTTTTGAGTTGCTTTAGGCGGGAGGGTTGACTTGGTTCCTATAATTCCATCTTGACTGGAAACTCTATTAATGTTTGTAGGCATTTTATTTTTTTTTGATTAAAGTTAAATGAATGCACAATGGAATAGAGCACTCTGGAAACCAAAGAATAGTGTTTATAAAGTTCATAGTATTCTTCATTCAACAGATTTTTACCCAGGCATTCTTTTTAGGCACTGAAAATGTAGAGGGAAATAAAATGTCAGTACTGCTCAAAGAGAACATTCTATCACAACTCCTTGAACAGAGTCCGTTTTTCACTTATCTTCATGCCATGAAGGCACATAGCAGACAGTTATTAAAACAAATAGAGTGTATTACTAAATGACCATTTCATTTAAACATAAAGGTAAAGTGTACTGCAGCTGCCATTGATTTTTACTAAAATAATCAGAGAAAACACTGATCAAAGGGTAGAATACACTGATCCCAGAAAAATAATGAAGTTCAGAATTTTGAATAGTTGAATTAAGACTACACTTCACATTAAAATGAATTAAGAATATATTCAAGTGTCCAAATTATTTCTTAATAAAGTAACACTTTACTAGCAAAAGGAAACACTAAACAAAAATTTTATCTTTCCCATAAAGAGCAAAAGTTTAATTTGGAAACTTAGGAATCTGTGAAAAACCACTTCCACCCAAATGTAAACGGGAATCTAAGTCTCAAGTATCAGACAGTGTAATTCTGTTCACGCTCAAGGTCTGTAACAGCTTCATCAGGAGTGTGCTTCCAGCGCAGCGTGGCTTACTGGCACTGCCACGGACACCTGGCTCTGAGCACATCTTCTGTACTGAGCACATGCTGAGCACTTCATGTGCACCGTCTCCTTCCATCCACACCTAACTCTATGGCACAGATATTATTTTTATCCTAATTTTAAAGATGGTGAAGCTCAGAGAAAATAATTGTAATTGCAATTGTGTAATTAGCAAGGCCTGGACTTAAATTCAGTCTTCTTGACTCTAAAGCTAGTGTTCTAAAAATAAGCCACAAATTCAAATTTACAGACAGGTAAAACAGAGCTAATTGCAAAAACAAGCACTATAAAGTTCTCTTAGATAACTGCTTCCTCTAAATAGCAAATATCAATTAATACTTTAGCAGTACTTTTATTTGAAAAAGTGGAGCTAAACTGATCATTTCTAATATATATGCAATCACATAAGGGACTCAGATATTTAAGAAAGACAGTTTTGTATTTAAAGAATTTGTTTGAAGTCTCTCACAAACAGACCAACAAAAATATTCAGAGGAAAACTATCAAACCTTATTTTTTAATTTTTTTTGCGGAAGATTAGGGCTGAGCTAACATCTGTGCCAATCCTCTTCTTTTTTGCTGAGGAAGACTGTCCCTGAGCTGACATCTGTGCCCATCTGCCTCTACTTTACATGTGGGACGCCTGCCACAGCTTGGCTTGACAAACAGTGCTTAGGTCTGCACCCAGGATCTGAACCAGCAAACCCCGGGCCACTGAAGCGAAACATGCGAATTTAACTGCTGCGCCACTGGGCTGGCCCCCAAACCTTTTTTTTTTTTAATAGGTGTATACATCTGTGTGAATACAGAGTTTATGAGAAGGGATGACACAGTTTGCCCTAAAACAGACACAATTATTTTCACATTAACATATTTCTTTAAAAAGGAATTTTTGGTGCACTGTATAATAGATATTTATTTTATGTGGAAAGTTGGCATAAAATGTAACATTTCATATTTCTTCACCATCACTGGAGAGAAAAGATATGGATCAATGAGATGACTCTTATAACAGGAGTCAGATGAAGACACTTTATCACAAGTCTCAAAGCACGTGCTCTGAAAGTTCAATAAAGGCTCTGGATTTTCAGAGCTAGGCTCATCTGCACACTCCTGAGAGTGTGAGGGATGGACAGTGTCAGGGTCTTAGAGAATGCTTCGCCTCTGAGGAAATCACGGCAATATCCTGCCGCTTACCTGGAGATTTTCACAGGTCTCCTGACTGTAAGTGAGTCTCTGGATTTCTGTAGGTGAAACAAGATACAATGCTTGTCCATTGTTGGTGAAGCAGAACGTTCTGGCTATCCGCATATTGGTAAGGGGCAAGTAATACACATCCAATAGAGGCCTTAAACTTGGCAAACTTGAGAGAGAAATTAAAAACTTGTTAATAATAAACAAGGTAGGTTTGAGTCTTGAACAAAGCATCACAGAAGGTAAAAACGGCAGGGACCTCATAAACCTCATGACTCAGTGTACTTGAGGAGGAGGTAACACTCAACAGTGTTCCTCACAGACTTTTCACTACTGACTGAATGAAAAGAAATTCTCAGTGCACAAGACGAAACAGTAAGAGCATTTCTTTTAAACTGAATATAATTCTGTAATACTATGGTTTGAGGGATGAAATGCTGTATTTGTGTTTAGAAAAATATCTAACTCTTACCTAAAGGTCATGATGTGTCCGTTGGCACAGAAACAGGCGAGGCAGATGCTGTTACTCATCGCCACGACATCCCCCCGGAGCACGAACGAGGTCTCTGTGATGTTCTGCTTATAGGCGCAGTTCTGAGTGGGCAGTGAAATCACCTTTGCTTGCTTTTCAGAACATATCACTGCGTACTGGTTTTCACTAATTTCCTGAGAAGAGGAGGGGGATACAGAGACAGGCCGTCGTTTTTTCAATTTCTCCTTTTCGTCTTTTTCTTCAGGAACGTTGTGTTCTCTCCAGGATTCATATGCAGGTGGCACTAGGCAGCCTGTGGCATCCAGGAATGCCATTCTCAGGATCGCCCCTTTTAACCTCAATATAGTACCTAAAATGCGTAAGTTTAGTAGACAACAAATATTTTAATCCACACAGTAAATATGTTTATTCCAACTTTGACACTCAAAAATATGCAGAACGTATACTAAACTGAAATTGTACACTAGCTTATTGATAACTCAGGATTTGAACTTCAAGCATGATATCTGAATCTGGAAAAAGATATAATATTACAGGCCCCAAACAGATAAGTGCCACCAAACAGATAAATGCTAGGATGTCTGGAATCATGTCTTCTCTCACACCTGGCAAATGTGCCACCGAGTATGAGAACAAGTAGATGGCACCTAGAGTTGCTGCCTAACATGGCAGCCGCTAGGCATCTGTGGCTAGAAAACACTTAAAATGTGGTTTGTCCAAATTGTGGCGTGCTGAGAGAGTAGAATACACGCTGGATTTGAAGACAGTACAAAAAAATTTAAAATATCTCAATAATTTAAAAATACTGATTACATGCTGAAATGATAGTGTTTTGCATACACTGGGCTAAATAAAATGTTATTAAAATTAATTTCACCTGTTTTTCACTTTTTTAATATAGCTACTAGCAAACTCAAAATTCCATATGTGGCTCACATTGCATTTTTAACAGTACCGATCTACAGGGCCAATGAGGACAAAAAGTCCACATAATTCTAATCATAACTTCCTTTTAAACTATTTGCTGGTAAATGTCAAATATATTAAAGACATTGTTTGGGTCAACTTAGAGTCTTAATTTAGGGGTTATATTTCTTGACTTGCTTAGTTAATGAGATTCCTCTTCCCTTACATCCCTCAAAATGTAAATATGCCTAATTAATGCTCCTTTCTAAGCAAACGAAACGATAATATTAACATTAAGGATTTGGAAACCAACAGAAGGGATGGCATAGAACTGATTTAGTTCAGTTCTTATTTTAAAAGAATTTTCATATCTTATTACTTTATACTTCGATTTTACAGTTTGCAAGAATTTTCCATATAAGAGGAAGAGTTCCCAATGTTTTCTCAAAATTTTTCTTAGAAGGCAAAATCATATTTCCTTTCTTCTTTATATTCGCATATTTTTATCTACAGCAGAGTAGCCTGATAAAGCAAAGGACGCCCAGTTAAATTTGAATTTCAGATACATAATGAATACTTTTTTAGTATAAGTATGTCCCAAATACAGCATTATCTTTCCAAATACTGCATGGGACATATTTATATTAAAAAGTATATCTGAAATTCAAATTTAACTGGGCACCCTGTATTTTATTTGCTGAACCTGGTAACTTTAGTCTATAGTCCAGGTTTGGCAAGCAGACAATTGCATTATTTTAGATGATTCACTATAATTTGGGAATTGTTCATAGTACATAGGAACATGTATGAGATACAGTAATTCCCGTATGTGGATTTTTTTAAAAATGTCCCAAGATAATAGTTAAATACATGCTTGTCCTGTAGTCGGCAAGGTTTTACTATGTTTTCCAGCAGAGTAGTGATAACTGCTGGGTTCTCCTCTTGAAGGGAAAAAAACAATTGGGGACAAAGTAGACCATTCCAGGTTCTTAAGCACAGGAACCCATCTGCTTGAAAAATATCCCTCTTCTCACAGTTCCAATACCGACAACACGATATGAACACCATTGTTATATTTTAAAACAGGCATCTTAGGAAAAAAAATAAACCTCAAAGATTCCACCACTGAGAAGAAAACCAAAGGTTCTTTCTTACATATGAAAATTATTTTTATATAGAAGTAACTTTATAACTAGTTTGATTTTATTGCAGGTTGGAAAACATCTTAAACATTTTTTTATGTAGTTAACAGTAAATTATCTATACTTAATCCCCTCTCTCATTTTTATTTATTGGAAACATTTATTTTCTTATTACAAACTGATACATGCTTGTTGTAGAAAATTTAGAAACTACGAATCAGTAAAAAGAAGAAAATAACAATTACTCACAATCCCATTCTTCAGGGACAATTACCACTAACATTTTGATTTTCATCTTTCTAGTTTTTTTCCTACGCATGTGATGCTTACTAATAACAGACGAGGTTAGTAAGAATATCATTGTGTAACCTTTTCTAACAACCACGTATGCAGTATACACTCAAATATTTAGTGAGCTGAATAAGTCAAACTTTCTTTAATGTAAAGATAGTTCAGAAATGAACATGAAAATCAAAACTACATTTTAATTCTCAATTCCAAGTATTGTTAAAGTCTACATAAATAAGAGATACACTAACAAGCAAAAGTGTGGACTTTTTTCTGTCTAGATCAGCATAAATTAGTAATGGAAACCAGAATTCTGTTATTTCCAGACCTATCAGACTCCACACACTTGAGAAAAGTCAATCTCATTTTCAATTATGGAGACTGTAAAGTTTTTCTTCTTAAAATTTGCTATTGTCACCTTTTCCTAATACATGAAAGAAGAAAAATAATCTATTTTAAAACTTCACTCATAGAAATTCAAAATAGCCAGGTGTATAATGTTTAAAAATATACTTTTCTGATTTTCTTCTAAATATGAACCATTCTTTTGTTTATAGAACCAAATATTTTGAGGTACCCTGGAATGCATTAGAACAACAGTTTTTTTCCTTCATTTTCTTATGAGGTAATCGTTTTAAACAAAATCCTAGAGTCAAAGAAAAATGCAAAACCTGAATGGCTGTGTAAGTAAACAATATTCTGGAATCTTATTCCATGTATTCCTTCATTAGAAACATAAGACTGTAACTATCCCCATTTAGTTTACATTTTAGAATTCTTAGATTGATTCAAAATGAAAAGCAAAGGCTTCTATTAAATCACAGTAAATCAACCTTCAACATAAGTACAGCCCCAGAGCATACATACCACTGGGAGACACGATTACCGGCTGCAGAAGTCTCTGCTCTCCTCCGGGGGGCAGGTTCAGTGCAATGACAAGCACTGTTCCCAACGTGGTACCAACCCATAAACACGGGGAAGGAGACGAATCTGCCTTTCGAGTAAAAGTTTCACAGAAATGAAGAGCAGAGATCGCTTCTCGGGACTCTTTATCAATGCTGGTTACACTCGAACTCCGTGATCGGCTGAAGGAATTATCTTTTATATCTGAAATGATTTAAAATGTTGTGAGATTGTTCAACCTACAAAATATCATGCTTTTTTGTTCGGTATAAATTTGGTCAAATAATTAATCTGCAAAAAGATAAAATCTACAGCATATTTAATTTTTTTCTTTTTTGAGGAAGATTAGCCCTGAGCTAACATCTGCCACCAATCATCCTTTTCTTGCTGAGGAAGACTGGCCCTGAGATAACATCCGTGCCCATCTTCCTCTGCTTTATATGTGGGACGCCTGCCACAGCATGGCTTGCCAAGCAGTGCCATGTCCGCACCTGGGATCCGAACCAGCGAACCCTGGGTCGCCGAAGTGGAACATGTGAACTTAACCGCTGGGCCACCAGGTAGGCCCCCATAGCACATAATTTCAATTGGCAAGAAAAACAATTTACTTCTTTGCTAATAATTTTTTCCTTTGCTTAAATGTAAAATCTAAATGCACAAATCCCCACTTCTCAGAACTGAGCTGGGTGCACCCCCGTGCATTTTTGGCTGCGTGATCTTTACGGTTTTGGTGCAGCTCTGTTGGCATCCTGGCTGCTTTTCTCATCTCAGCCCTCACCACCTTCTCTTCGCATGGTGCTGTTTCTTCCTTTGGTAACACAACTTCATGAATAGGCAGAACTAGAGAAGCGTGGGTCTTTTCAATTTTCTACATTTAAAAAAAGCATTTAGAAGTACTCTGACCCTAGATTCCAATTTATTGTAAGACGGACTTTTTTTTTTTCCAAATCTGTCCATATGAAAACCTTTAATCCATAAAAATTTAGCTTTCATTTTTCTTGAACGACATTTTAACTGTAATCAACATTCAGCTACAGCATTTTTCATCAAAATGCATAACTGGTACCTGGCTCCTGCTTACCTTGATGCAGGTACGTCCCCTCACCTGCTCTGTCTGAAATGACAGATTCTCAGGAATCTCACTGACAAACCCTCTCTCGTCTTCAGCTACCTTCTTCCCTGTGGTCATCCTCAAGTCTGTCTCAAGCTCTGGCCTCTTTGCTTTTGGACCTGCATTTCAAACGCTTATGGGGATTTTTTCCTGTCATGTCTCACTACACAAAATCAACACACATCATTTCGCCAAGGCTGTCCATTCCCCCGACGGCACTGTTTATATTACTCGCAGCCCTGGGAAGAACACAGGCAGCCACACCTAAAACGAGCTGCACTGCAGTCCTTCCCTTTCCCATCTGAGCATCTAACGGGATGCCAAATCCCATGTTATTTTCTTCCGATGTTCTGTTTCCTTCTTTCCATCACCAATCAGCTCCCATCACCCTACGTCAGGCCTTCGTCGCATTCATCTAGACGACCACACGATCCCAAGTGATCTCCCCACCTCCACTCTCTCACGACCCCCATTTTCTAAGGTAGAGTTATAATTCTATCACCTCTACTGAAAAAACTCTCAGTGGTTCCTCTTTATTTGATCACGCTTATGATCTTACTCAAAAGCTTACGACTCCCCACAAAATACCTGCAACCTCCCCCCGGCCCTGTCTCCCAGTGCTTCCCCGCTTCGGTTCACGGAGGGAAACACACCGAGCCACTCAAGTTCTCCAAGCACACCCTGCATGGACCTGCTGTTAGACCTCTGCCTGCGATTTTCTTTCTGATTGGGGCCCCTGCCTCATCCTTTTCTCTACCTGCCAAGGTTGTGCTTACTCTTCAGCTCAGGCACTGTCATACTTGCGAAGTTTACCCTGATTCCTAAAACCATATATACTTTTTCTCTTTTTTGAATCTCGATAGCTGTTTTTCTCTCCCATGCCACTAACAGTACATTCGTCTTGTAGTTATTTCTGACTTGTCTTAGGCCTTGCTCTAAAGTGACTGCCAAGTTTGTTGAGCACAAGGGCTATGTCATTTTGATGCCCTGCAGAATTTAGCAAACTGCCCTGCATACAAAAGTATTCAATAAATACTTGCTGAAGACAGATCACTAGTTGAAAGTATCTAAACCAATGTTCCTGCCTTACCACTGGGCTCCATGACAATTTCCAGTAGCTTCTACTGTTCACAGCTAATAAATCATTCCTCAAATCACATGCTTTCAATGCTGTCGTGAAAGAAATGACTTCATAATGTGAAAAATAACAAACACGTTAAAGTCTTCTAAGTGGTATTTTATTAAAAAAGGATAACTGAATCCTACTTATACCCCCGAAAAGCTTTTTGTAATCAAATTTAGATTCACAGATTGAAAATGTTCTCCCAAGTAATTTTATATACAACATAATTTTGATTATAACTAGCCTCTGAAAACAACAAAGCTACTAGTTCTGACAACAGCGTGGGTCATTCCTAACCACAGTTTCTAAAAATGTCTTTGTTTTGCCTGAGATTGTACTTCCTGTTACAGATTATGACACAGAGCAAAGAACTACTTACTGTAAATGAAACAACTTTCATTAATGGACGAGTCTGCAATACGATACGGATTCCAAATGTTAACTCTCTATAGTCTCCCAAGTTATTTTAGTAAAATAACAGAAGTTTTAAATTTTCCAATGATAAAAATACTTGTTACTTTAATAAAAAATACACATACAAGGTGAACAAACATATCTTCAGTTGTGATCTAGCGACAAAAATGGAAATCAACAATATAAGAATATTTGATAATATAAATTTCAAGGTAAATTAACCAGTGTAAAAACCCTTAAGGATATCTATTAAAATTACAATAGCTGATTCACAACAATCTATACTTCAAATGTTAACTCATAGGCCAAATAAACAGTGTTTTAACTTAATGGACTAATTCAACTATATGATATTTATAAACTACAATTATATTTTTATTATATGACTTCTCTACAAAAATTAGTTTACCAGCTAGATCAACATGGGAAAAGAACGAACTGAGTCAGAATCAACGTTGAACTCATGGAGTTGGGCTGCTTATTTTATCTGCCTAGAACTATCTGAAAAGAAGTGACAGTTTTTAGCAGTTCATGAATTACAACTTCCACTGACCGCTATTAAATTAGATGTTGTGGGTCTCTGTGGCTTGAACTTTGGAAATTGGGCAAGCTAAACAAATGGAAGAGAAATTTTAATTTTAATTCTACTAATAAAAACAGAAATGAAAACAGCTACTACTAAGCAAGGATTGCTATGTGCTACAAACTATCATAACTCTTTACATTCATCATTTTATTGAATCCACCTAAAAACTCCGAAAAGTATTATCATCACACTATAACAAATAAGAGGCTCAGACTGGTTAAATGCCTTGTCCGGGATGACAAAGCTGGTTAATGCAAGAGTTAGGATCTGTGCCCAGGTCCAAGCCTAAATCATTCTGTTAGGCAACACCACATAGACATGGGGTCAGTCACGTCACCAATATCATACGAGCGGAGGGTTTTGGTTAATATCGAGTATTAAAGTTCGTCTTTAGATACAAACAAAAAAACCCCACTTGACTTGATCACGTGGTCTTTCTGGCAGATCTAAACTCAGATAAAATTTGTCATTAAAGCCTCCATCCAGCTCTATGTGATTCAAGCACATCCTAAAATAATCGCTTTCATGACACTCTCTGGATGCCTGGGAACAGTCTACTTGTATGTATCACTCTCTCCTCTCCACGTAGAGCCTTACGCAACAAAATTCTACATTTTCCAATCAAAGCACAATGCCAAGAGGTGAGTTTGGTCAGGGTAAAAATTAGGACAAAAACTCATTCACAGTGAGGTATACAACAGTTTACTGTTTTGCCTCCTGTGACCGACACTTGAAAAGCGACATCAGAAGTCTAGCAACATCACCCACGGTTCCTGAGCTGTGGGCCATGGAATCTGGGATGGTGAAGTTACACTGAAAACGCAATGCTGCACAATTTCCCCATAAGCAAAAGTGAATTCTATTCACAGAAGCTTCCAGAGCTGGAGGACAGTCCAACAGCCTCAGCTGCTTTAGCAACACCCGGCAGTTGGAGCCTATTGACATAGTTGTTTTTCCCCAATGACTCCCTAGCCAGTGTCGGACAATTATCAGCTAAGAATCTCCATCAAAAAACAGTTCAGCAGCACAGTGACTTGAAGGGAAATTACTTAGGCAACACGGAGACTATTTCAAAGTGTCTATCAATCAAAGTTACCATTGGCTTAGGGCATTGAAATACATGGGCACGCAAGCTAGAACATAAACTAAATAAAGATCTAGAAAAGCACGGAGTACATACTTTGATTAAATTACTTACACAGTTTATAAGTGTGAGTATTCAAAAAATAATGATATTTTTACTAACTTTAAAAGTCCTTCTACATGTGTTTTCTCAGATTTTTAAGATACGAAAGGTACAAAACCATTCTAACTCGTAGTATTTAATGTTACTGAAATCATGGGCCTCTTTGAGAGTCTGATGAAAACTCTGGGTCCTCTTGTTGGGAAAAACTGTATAATGTAAGCCTTCAATGCACTTGGGTTCAAATTATGTCTTTCACTTTCACAGTGAAGGAAACGATGCCCTTCTCAAAGTATTTTTATCCTACATTCTGGGTTAACTCTTCTTCCCTTAACACCAGGGGTACATAGGGTTCTACTAAACTGTTTTTCCTCCCTTCAGGAATGGAACCTTTTACTGATGGCAGTGAAAGATGCTCTGCCCACTCACTCATAATCACATGCTTCCCATCAGTATAACTGAGCTAAGACCACGATCTGAAAATGCCACAATTAATATGGTGAAATGGACCAACGCCTAAGTTTGTATTATGCACAAAAAGGTTAGTTAAGGAACCTAGAGGATAAATAGTGAGAAGATGAGGTGCGTGAGCAAAGCAAGGGAGAAAATCTAGTGACTTCTAAGACAAAGATGGGTAAAACCATCCTTATGCAGTTATATTTCTCCTTCAACTAAAGGTAACAGAAATTCCTGAAGTTAAAAAAAAAATGATTTTAAAAAGAAACCCTGCTTTAGATTACATGAAATCTTTTTTTTTCCCCCAAAGATTTTATTTTTCCTTTTTCTCGCAAAGCCCCCTGGTACACAGTTGTGTATTTTTTTTAGTTGTGGGTCCCTCTAGCTGGGCATGTGGGACGCTGCCCCAGCATGGCCTGATGAGTGGTGCTACGTCCGCGCCCAGGATCCGAACAGGCAAAACCCTGCGCCGCCGAAGTGGAGCGCTCAAACTTAACCACTCGGCCACGGGGCAGCCCCCATAGATTACATGAAATCTTATTTTTATCTTTATTGAAATGTTATTGGTGCTTATCCTGGAATATCAGGGGGCTGTTTTTGAGCTGGGCATAAAGCAAAAGGAATGTGTGAATATATTCATTCTGCTTTCCTAATGGATTAGTTGCATAGAACATGCTGTAGAAAAAGAAGTATTTTCCAACTTATCACCAAAAAGTAACAAAAGATTCTTGATATGATTCACTGTAACACAGAAAACTAGTAATTTATTTTGAAAATATTAAATTCTTATAAGTTTATAAATTGTAGAGTTCAAAATAAGTTTTCAGATGGTTAAATGAGACACAACTTTTAATAAAAATTAGTCTGAAACAGCACACATTTTAATCTTACACTAAATTTTGCTTAGATATAAAGGATGAGAGAGCTGAGGAGATATATTATTTGGTTGCTTGAATTTATATTATCATTATCTTCCATAATTTACAGATGGCATTCTAAAGGCTCTTAATCCTTAAACATCTCAGTCATTTTAAACTTGACTTCTGGTGAAAATCTAGTCTACGGTAATTTTAAATCTTCTGATTTCCTTGTCTTCCCATTAAAGGGAGTTTGCTGTGGATTTTTATTGACTTATTTTACTTACCTAAGTCAGGCTTTAGGTCAGTAGGCAAGCTTAACTTCCTTGACATCTTTGCTGAAAAACAAAATGCATTTTTAAAGTTCGGAAAAATATTTGATTCATATTTCTTAATACCAACTTCTCGTCAACATAGAAGTGAATTTTTTTATTACTAAGTCTAGACGCTAGGGTAATTAAAATATGATTAATAATATTATGGGTGGAAAGTAAATCTTATTTTCAACTTTTTAAAAAGTTTGTACTTACTTGATGTAATACATCTTTGTGGGCTTGAAGCTCGTACTTCAAGGAAGCCTTTTAAATTCTAACTGTTAATTATTTCTTAGGCTCATGGGAAGGGTTAGGCTTTTCTAAGAGAAGCCAAGTCATTTCTCAGAAGGAAGGTGTTGCAGGTAAGGACAACAGAGGCATAAGACTGCGTTTGGGTAGGTGACAGAATAAAATCTTTCCAGCTCTTCATTTTCATAGCTATTTGGGCTCACTATTTTTAAGTTAATCTCCAGAATATAGGACAAACCTATATCTACAATCAAATTAAAGTATTTGATTACATCATAAAAATATCTGGCTCAACCATTCCTTGATATAAGTTAACACCTCTATTTACATTTCAGTGATAAACGAAACAACAAAGTCACACAATCTAAAATTACAGTATTAATAAAAATGTAAACTACAGATATTTCTATTTCGTAGTAGAACAATAAAAAAGCCTATGTATAAACTTTCTGGAATTCACTTTCCATCCTCAAAATCAGTTATTGCCTTAATCTATGAAGTGACTGGAAGTTAGAAGCGGTTTAACTGTATCTACATGGTTAGTGGCAGTGCATGCGTAACACAATACTGTTGCCTATGTGACACTCTGAGAAAGCATGTTTGTTAATACATGAATGCATATTTTGGGTTAAATTTTGGACTGTTAGGAGATATTTAAAGCACAGACCCTGCTAGTCCATAAGGGCGCCATGTAAACAAAGAGAAATCCAGTCATAGTACATAACTTCCACATCTAAAAAAATGACAAATTCAGCGTTAGGAAAGAGGCATTAGGCAAACTGGGAAGGGATGGGGGAAAATCAATTTTTTACTTCTAGGCTTCATTAATCTAATTAGCATCTTTAAAACACAACAATGGATCAAATATATGAATCAGTCTTATCCCATTTTCACCCAGACTTCATCAATCTCGGTTAACAGATGAAATGTAATACAAGACTAAAAGAGTCAAATGAAATCTACGGCTAGTTGACCTCATGTAAATGGTTGCTATTGTATTTAATATCCAAGTCCCTTAAAATCAGAAGATGATATGCCCCTAAAACCATCTTCTAAAATGCAACATTAAACACTTTTAAAAGAACTCACAGAGGTTTTCACCAAGTATTATAGGTACAACGTACACAGACTGATAATATCTATACAATGTATATCTATCTGTAGTAGAAACATCAGTCTGGTATGGCCTAAAGAAACTCTCAGAATCACATGATGTGGATGCTTCTCCAGACCCCGCTACTGTGATTCGATCTAGTTTTCTAAGCCTTTGAGACTGGCGCTTATTAAACTAGAATGTGCACACCAGTCCTCTGGGGATATTGTTGAATGAGATTCTGATTCTGTTCTCCTGGACTAGCGCCTGAGATTCTGCCCTTCTGACAAGCTCCCCGGAGATAAACGACAATGCTGCCTGTGGACCACACTTTAAGCAGCAAGGTCCCTAGACTAAAAGCAACTTCAGGATAGGAACCAAGATTAATTCATCAAACTCAGTATGTATAATATCCAGTAAGTCTACAACAAACAATTCTTGAACGAGCCTGGATATCTAGTTTGTAAGATGTGAAAGTGTAAAGTATTGTAGTTAAGGCTGGATTTGGAATCAGATCAAACCTGAGTTCAAATCCACTTCAACCAACTACTAGATAAGTGACCTTGGGCCACTCACTGTCCCTCTCTCTAAATCTCAAATGTCCTCATTTGTAAAAGGAGGACAGACAATAATGCCAATTTCACAGTTGTCATTAGATAAGATGATGTGGGCAAAGCACTGTCACAACACCTGACACAGTATGGGTTTGACAAATGTTATTTATGAATAATAAATAGTATTTTTTTCATAAACTGTAAAATGCTACATAGATGAGCTACTAATACACTTGTAAACAACTGGTGTTCCTTTATCTTATTCTATGGTGGTATTCCAAGCAACTAAAGCAAGAAAATTGAAAAAAAAAAAAACTTTAGGACAAACACAGAATGGCATGCACCACTATAAGCTCAACTGCTTTTCAGTTCATTCCAAAAACTAAACTCAATATATAGCTAAACGAAGAGAAATAACCCGAACAATTTGCAAGCCTAATCACATTACTCATTAAGTCCACCCCTCATTAAATTAGCAAATTAAAATTATGAAGTAAATACTTTATCAATCAGAAATGTATCTGTTGAAGCTTTCATTATTAACCATACATATATTTGTCAAAAAAATTTCACTAGGATAAAATTCCCTTCTGACTTTCATAAGCGTATGCTTTTAATCTCCCTTAAGATTTCCACTAGAAATTGTTTTATATAACTTCTCAAATATTTTACAAGTTTAAGTTAGTTCTTCCCATGAGATAAAATTTTTTGTCTAGCACTACTTAATTTATCATGTAAAAAAAACTTCATATAACTAACCAGCTTTCAAATAATTCTTCAGTTGGTCTAATTTTGACATTTCATTGAGAGGTTAAAATCACACACAAAAATGACAAGGTAGATTTTCTGAATATAGCAACTTTACCGTAAATGTCACATGACTTAATTATGAGTCTGTTATTTCCTCCAGAAAGACTGCAATTGAAGACCCATAACCCGACCACCAACTCCATCACAGTGTTCAATCAAAAGACAGACACTTAAGCCTCACTGCGATACATCTGGACACAGTTTTAAGCAATCTTCTTGAATATGGAACTTGACAAATGTTAAAAGATTAACCTTTGCTATTTTGTGTTAATTCTAGCTATCAATATTATTTTAAAAAGTTACAGAACTAAGAGTTTTGATGAGTAGAGAAACATTTTTGTTACATGTGGTAGTGGGATGGGGCTACCTACTTATTCATCTATTAAATATTTATTGGGCACATGCTACCAATGTGCCAGAGGGCAGGGATTTCCTGCCCTCCAGGAGCTCACAGTCCATAGGAGGAAGCAAATAACTGCAATGCAATGTCGCAAGTACTACTTAACCCAGAGGCGAGCACAAGGTACTAACTAGAGTACATTGGATTTATATCCATCTCAGTTTAGAATACTTATCTAAGACTATGGGATATCAAGACAAAGCCCCAAGGAATAGTTTAGACTTTGCACATTTTCACAAAACAATATGGTCCTCAAATATTTTTTTGTTGATAGTATATTTCTTTTGATGTAAAATTTATATACAAATGTATGAATCTTAAATATATATTCACTGAATTTTGACAACCTATATACCTGTGTAACTCAAACCCTTAGCAAGATATAGAACGTTATCATCACTCCAAAATGGTCAATCATGCTCCTTTCTGATCAATTCCATCCCCACAAACAACCACCGCTCTGATGCTTTTTCTACCATCGATTAGTTGTGCCTATTCTCGAACTTCATATACATAAAAGCATGATACAAACTCTTGTGTAAGGCATCTTTTACTCAGGATAATGTTTCTTATCTTCTTCCCAAAATATTTTAAAGCTTACATTCTTTTTTCAATGCACGATATGAGAATTCTTAGATGAAAAAATACAAAGTCTCAATTAATAGATTCACAGGCAATATCAGATTAACATTTTCTTACTGTTCCTCTACACATATGCATTTTATCTTTAAGCTTTTTTGAATTATGTATTCTTTACAGAAAACTTGGGAAATATGAGAAAATAAGGCCATCATGAATGCCTATAATCAAGAGGCAACATTTTTGCATATTTCCTGCCAGTCACTTTTTAAAATCTGTTTTTATTTATATAGTTGAGACGAACTATCATATTCAAATCTGTACCCTGCTCTTTTCTACTATTAAAACAAGCATTTTCTTATATCAACTGTTAGTATATTTTAATGGCTGCATAGCTATTTATATGAACACCTATTTTCCAATATATATACGGCAATAAAAAATGTACATATTTACATATTTTTGGATTATTTCCTTAGGACAGAGTTCCACAGGGGACAATCATTGTCTGTACAACTCCCTCAACATTCTACAGTATGTCTTTAAGTAGTATTTTTTTTCCTTGAGTTGAAACGACAGGCACATAAGCATAATATCTTACAAACTTTGTTTGGATGGAAACAAAGAAAAACATACATCAGAGAAAATTTGGCAATATGCAAAAGTTCTGGCTCACAACTGTGACTCTTTAAAACTCGAGCTGTCAGTTTTTTTCTTTTTCCTTTTTTGAGGAAGATCAGCTCTGAGCTAACATCTGCTGCCAATCCTCCTCTTTTTGCTGAGGAAGACTGGCCCTGAGCTAATGCCCATGCCCATCTTCCTCTACTTTATATGTGGGACGCCTGCCACAGCATGGCTTAACGAGCGGTGCGTAGGTCTGCACCTGGGATCCATATCAGCAAATGCTGGGCCGCCGAAGTAGAACGTGTGAACTTAATCAGTGTGCCACCGGGCTGGCCCCAAGTTGTCCCATTTTTTAATTGTATTGAGTGTACCTGAGACATCTGAAGCTAGATTGATCATTGCCTACCTGTGAACGCATCTTGTCTATTTCTCATGGATGCTTACGGGGAGGGAGAGACGGGGGGAATTTAAATCCTTGGCGTTTCATACTGTATGATTTGTATTTATCTGTCTTCAGGTTCCACCACCCTTCCCTCTGCAGTCTCCATCCAGGGACACTAAACCCAGCAAGCAAATCTATCATTTCAGATACTGAACTTTTTAGTACTAGAATTTTCATTTTATTCATCATAAAGTTTCTATTTTCTCTGCTGCTATTCTCCACCTGTTCACTCACCACGACCATTTTTCCTTTCAGTACTTGAACATATATGGC